CTTGCTTTTAATGAACTTTATCCTCAGCTTTAGCTTGCTCATGCTTTGTCATCCAATCAACTGGATGATATTTACACAGTACAATTCTATGACAATTACAACTTTAGCTGGTAAGTAGTCCACATTATCACATCTGGTTTGCTGTGCTTGTTTTAATCAATACATCAGCTTTTCCAGACAGCTCTGTGACAGATCAGTCCATTACTGCTGAGTTACAATACTTAATATAAACACATACACACACTCCTTCAGCAAAACACAGGAACACTTTAAAAGTCATGACCTTTCTAATCCTTAGATCATCAACAGATTCCATTTGTCTTTTTTCCCTCATTCTATTTAATTTCATTTGATCTAATTTCTCTATAACTTCATTAACCCAACATACTTTAGGTCAATATCCACAGCCTCCACCTGCAGAAACATTAACAGAAAAAGACCCATAACAGCGCCACAAGAGGATGGTAGGGTGCTGGGGAATTCATCTCGTCACCTCCTACAAAAGGTTCTTGACCTGGTCAGGTGAAGACTGGGACTGGGCTGACTGGCCTCTTGACCGTGCCTCAGCCCCTAAATTGATATTGGATGCTACTCATGATTTACTTTGCCTGGAACCCTGACAGGGTGTCCCTCTGAACTTGACTGAGGACTACTCCCTGTAGACTGAGACGTGGCTGTTTGCTTGCAGCACATGCAGTGTATTTGATTGGTGATGTGGCTGGCACGTGGTGCAAGCGTGAAATTGACAGAACACTGTGCCATTCAGAAAAATGGTCCCTTGCTCCTAGTTTGAGATGCCATCAAGTAAAGCATGCATTTATGGGGTGAAAAATGTGAGTACTAATGTGAGTACAAGATGTTATTGTCTATAATGGGGGCATGGGACAGTGGTGGAGGTGGGTGGTGATCTAGTTTATGTGCTAATTATATGCAAAATCATGATTTTGGGGTCACAACTTCATCAAGTCAACTTATATATCATGATCTGCAGGACTGCACTATAATCAAAAGTGAAAGGCTAGCCAACAAAATCTATCAAATCAGTGCCAAAGAAATCATTGACTTCTTTTATACCAGTCAACTTCTGGAGGTTTTTTGTTTTGAGCAATTAGAGTGGACTTCAGAAAGGACAGCACCAGTTGCTAATCCTAAACAAATCCATTAAAAGCTGTTGGCTTTTCTTACATAATAAATACAGAAAAAGCTGGGTAAATTTTCAAGATTAGTGATTAAAAGTTACAAGGCTGATTGAACATCAATGATGGTAGGACATCATAAAGTTATGAGCTTTAAAGTATTAGAAGATTTGCTTGCAATTGAATAAAGTAGATTTGATAAGTTTGAAAGCCTTCTCTTGTTCCATACTTGTTTACTATCTGTTTTTGGCGGCTAATCTGCTTTATTTATATACAAGCGCTTAGTCTTACTATATTTCAACTCAGTATTGCCAAGTTGACAAGCATGTTGACTGACGAAACTTGACAAGTTTTGAAATGTAGTTTGGTGATAATTTTTTAGATGTTTAAAAAAAAAACAACTTCACTCACACAATTCATGTCCCCATATAATTTAATGCCTTGTTGTCACAATTAAACACTTCGCCTGTAACCCCATCCGTGACAAAAGCCATTCAGTTGAAATCCAATAAAGCAATCCTGGCCTGTTTAACTCTTCCCGATATACTTTTGGACAATCCCAGGCATTGTCCATTGTGAAGATCGACTAAGCTAAACTACTCTTACTGTGCTATTCTTCTTATGGTTTGGTTAATTTGTTGAGTTATTGAATACCAAGATCATGTCAGATATGAAGGCAAATCACACAAGATCTCATGGAGGCTTGTGGTATGGTCAGCAGATGAAATAGTCTCCGAAATGTTCCTGGTTGCTATCTATTCCTTGATTTATATTTTACCTAAACATTAGTGTGAATAAGTAGCACTCATTTGGAAGCTATGACTCACCTCCCAAGAGTAGCTTGAAATGCTGAAAGCAAAGATATGTGGACTAGAAAGTGCAAAAGGTCCACAAATCATTCTGCTTGAATTTATCTAAATAGCATCTTGCTGAGCTGTCACTTTAACTCTGAATAATGATATTTTCCTGCTTGATAGACATTTAACACAGCCTCTATTAATCGAGGGTATGGTGTGGTAGAGTGTATAATTTGGGGAAATTGTGTGTAAATGGTGTGAATGAATTGCCTACAGGAGTAAGCATGTAAAGGTATCTAGCATTGAATTTAATAGATACAAATATAACACATTTCATTGTGTCATTTTCTATCTTTATTGAGGAATGCAAGTTCACTGGGGCTAAGTGGGCAAAAGTGCTGCATTTGAGCAGTTCCGGTAGATCCTTGCATAGGGCAAAACCAACTGAGCCCAATTTCAATGATGAATGTTCAGCACGTAGACTTTTGGTAAATTCTGAGAACAATCCAGCTTGCCTTTGATATGGATGCATTTATTTACTAAATCACAGACAATTTTTTTTTGTCAGCTTATAAACCAGTGTCATCCAGCAACAGGTATGTTAAAGACTGAAAATTTCACCCGCAGTTGTTTGACGTATTGTGTTGAAGGATATTAGGCATTATGATGGACGCTATTAAATAAGTAGAAAGTGCTAAAAATACTCAAAAGCATCAGTGAGGGAGAAATAGAGTTAACATTTCAGGTTGATGGCCTTTCATCAGAATGCATGAAAGATTCCTGTTGGACATTTCTTATATTTTATATTATAGAAGAAAACTTTTTGCATTTTTGTCATTCATTCAACCAGATGGACTTCTGGGATGGCAGGACTGACGTATGAAGAGGGACTTGATTCACTAGGACTATATAAATTGTAGTTTCAATGAATGAGTGGGGACCTCCTCGAAATCTATAAAATTCTAACAGGGCTATACAGGGCAAACGCAGTAAAGATGCTCTTGATGACCAGGGAGTTCAGAACCAGGGGTCATAGAGGCATGTAGCACAGAAACAGACCATTTGGTCCAACCAGTCCATTACCAACCATAATATAATCCCAAACTAAACTAATAACACACAAACCACTCTGTTAAAAAAAAAAAAAAAAAGTTGCCCCTCGTGTCCTTTTTAAGTCTTTCTCCTCTCACCTTAAAAATATGCCCCCCTAGTCTTTCACAGCCTCAGAATATGAGATAGGCCCGTTAGGACTGAGATGCGGAGAAATTTCTTCACCCAGAGAGGGGTGAACCTGAGGAATTCTGTACCACAGAAAGTGGTTAAGGCCAAAACATTGAATGTTTCAACAAGGGATCAAAGGGTATGGGAAGAAAGCGGGAACAGAGCACTGAGTTGGATGATCAGCCGTGATCTTACTGAATGGTAGAGCAGGCTTGATGGACTGAATGGCCTACTCCTCCCTTCTTTATGTTTCTAAGGCATCAGGCCATCCTAAAGCATTTTACAACCAATGAAGCACTTTTTGAAGCATGTAATTTAGGAAGTGTGGTAGTCAATTTGTGCATGGCAAGATGCTACAAGCAGCAATTATTGACAGAAAATTTGTTTATTATATTCCATACCTATGCATAAATAAAGCCTAATCATCTGACAGTCTAACGAGACAAAAAACAAATGTCTTTCGCATTTGTTAAGTTTTTGAGGACCATCAGCACCATGGCATGTGACCGCATGTGAGCTAATGGCTTTTTGCTGTAATTGCAGCAGTTTATTTTCCTGGCTCATGCAGACTTGTACAGAACTGGAACTACAGTGGTTATCCCATACAAACTGAATCTCCCACACAGCTAGTAATCTCCACAGTAACCCAAAAGCAGGAAACAGGAATCAGCACTCCAACCTTTAGAAGTTTAAGGAACCCATTGGGCCAGGCATCAATGTTCTAATGGCTTGCAGAATGCAAATCATCATTGAATATTTCTAGAAAGTGTTCGCTTTGTGTTTACTACCAGTTCAGTGAATACATGTGGCGCTACTTTCGGTCAGATAGAGGATGGTTGTACAGTTGAAGTAACTTGTTTGACCTTTGTTTACTATGCATGTAATATCTCCATTATATATAGCCCAAGATCACGTATCTCACTCACCCTAATATGACCTTTTTATTTACTTTTTAAAAGTTCATCCTCAGCACATGGGTGTCCCAGAGTAAAAGCCAACATTTCTTTGTCACCCCTCTGAAAGGCATTGTGGGCTTTCTCTTTGAACTGCTGCAGTATGAAACGTGAAGGATCTTTAATAATACCATTCAGTTGGGAGTTGAGGGATTTTGTCCTAATAACGTTGAAGAAATATGGAAACCTGTTCATATTAGGACATGCATCCAAGTTAGGAACTTGGTGATGCTGTTTCCAGATGCCGTCCTTATCCTTCAAAGTGGTGGCTGTTGTAGGTTTGTAAAGTGCTGTCAAAAAAGCCTTGGTGAGTTTCTGCAATGCATACCAGCTAAATTAGCGCCGGTGGTGGAGAGCGATTGGACATCTGTCTGTGTTGGGAGCTAATGGACAGCATCCTAGGTATTTCTTGCTTTTGGATTGATTTTCATCTGTTACTGTTTTAAAGGTCATTTTTTTATGAGTGACAGTCCCTTCCCCAGTTGGTACAGATAAATAACATTAGCCTGAAGTGCTTTTATTTCCCTTTTTCCTGGCTCTTTTTCTAAAATCTGATTCTCCATCCCCTATCTGACTGCTTGTCTCCAATCAACATAGAAATTTCTCAATGCATTTACATGAGTCTCGGTCAACTTGAAGCCTCGCTTGCAGATGTCCTAGTCTCTCAAGCTGTTGGTTTTGTGTCAATGGCAGGTTCACCATAGAGCATATCTTTGTGAATGTGGCTGTCATTCAGTTAGTTGTCCATGCTTTGCTACTGCAAAGGAGAATGCTGAGAGTAAGAGTTTGGTACAAATGAAGCTTTGTATTTTCAGTTAGTTTGCCATGGTCCACACTCAACCTTTTCAACTTTGATACTGCCTCAGCTATCTTGATGCTTGTTTCAACATCAGACAGGATTATCCAAGGTATGTGAAGTGGTTGACGTCTTGCCGAGTGAGATTATCGATATTGATGGAAAGTGGAGTCAGGAGATACCACGTGTGTTACAGCCAAAAGTGAGTTCCATGCGTAAGCTACCTGAGGGCTAGTGAGCATATTGCAGTCTTGAACCACTGCCTGTTTTCTTCAATATAATGTTTAACAGATCTGAAATAACATCTCCTTTTTAAAAAAATTCTATTCATACCTCTGTTTCAAAAGTGTCATGAAGGGATTCATAAACATTTTCTCTTCTTTTTGTCCCCTCTCCCTTTGTTTCTTCTCAGTGCCTGTCCCCTCACCCACCACTTTAACGTTCCAGACCCATTAGCTTTTAGGAACCTTTTGTTTCATTTTGATGGTTTCCAAAGCATTTTTTTTCCAGTTATGGCATCAGCTTGTAGTTTGACTTTCCATATGTGAGCATAGGTGGAAATGAAAATAACTTTGCCTTTGACCAAAGCAGTTTGTTTTAACTTTATTGGCCAACAACATTAAAACGACTGCTTTTACCCCTCATTATAATTGTGGGTGCTTCCATACAGACAGTGGGGTCCATCTGAGTATTCAGAAGGAATCAGCTAAACTACTGTCAAAAAATGAATAAGTCCAGTCTCACCAGTAAGTCATCTAACCTTCTCGACTCTAGTGCTTCCTATAATTCTGGCTGCACTTTGAAGTTAAAAGTTAGTTCCCCCATTAGTGAACAATTTGTTGAATATCTGGTACATTCTTTGAAGCTCCCTTGATAAAAGGCAACAGACAAAATTTACTGGATACTATGTATCTAAAGTAATTTGTTCAAATAAGCAGTGTTTCTCCTGCCACCACACTGGCATCGAATGTACACCTAAAACCAGAAACCTGTGCCAAATCAACCCTTGCCTACCTGTGGTACCACTGCCTCCCAAGGAACTCTCCCACTCTCTCTGGTTCCGCTCGGCACCACTCTCCTACTTGATGCAACACTTGGCACCCTGCTCAACTGTTCAGCACCTCTCTTGGCACCCTGCATGCTTCCGGCTCCTCAACGTGTGTCCGTCTTTCTCTCTCTCTCTCTCTCTCTCTCTCTCTCTCTCTCTCTCTCTCTTTCTCTCTCTCTCTCTTTCTCTCTCTCTCTTTCTCTCTCTCTCCCTCTCTCTCCCTCTGATTACTATTGTTTTCGTAAATCTATTATGTGAAGGAGCTATAGGTCGTTTTTTATTGTATGTGTCTATAAGTTGCCAGGCCATTTACAAAGTATTCTACTTTTGCTGGTATTCTTTGTATCTTCTATATGAAACAAGCAAATTGGGCAACATTTTAGTCAAAGAATCTGAGCATGCATTAGTTTATATCTTTACCAAATTAGTGTAAATATTTAAAACTTCCTCAAATTGTTAAGTGAGTTATTTGCAAAGAAAACCCATAATATGTTGAAGTCTTTGCCAGCTGGCACAGTACAGTGAACAAAATGTGATTGTTTTCTGGGACAAAGGAAAGTTTATCATTGAGTTGATTTACAGGAGAGCTCTAGTCTTAAAGCCAATAAATCATACGCAGCACATAACCAGCGTCCATTGAAGCAGAACTTTGCAGGGAGGTAGTCGTATTTATTAGATAGACTAGCAATAAAGCTAGTCCTGTCAAGCTCCTAGATTCAGAACACAGGCTGACCTCAAGCACGTAGGCTGCAAATTCAATTTTGTAGTCCCAGGTTAACTTATTGTACCGTTTTATCTTCAAAACATTTCTTGTGCCGGCTGTGCTGAGCAATATTTTGTTGCGAACCCAGGGAACGTCTAGCAGGATTAGTAGACAATGATATAAAAAGGCATACAATATAGTTTTGATGTCAGTGGGGGTAGGTTTTGGGCCCTCCTGACAGGTGTATTTGCAAACATTGGGTTGGGGTAGGCATGTAGTGTAGGACAGATAGCTAGCCTTAATACCTACCTGCATCACCCCAAAATAGTGGGAGGTAAGGAATCTGCCAGTAAGCTTGGGCATATTGAGGCCTTCAATTGGCCAACTGATGGCCTGCTTCTTTTCCTGTCATCATATTATGTGGGTTTGGTAAGTGAAGGAGGCCAGCTCACATTTTCACTGTCCCGGGTGAAAAGACGGGAAGACAAGGTGTAGCGCCTCCTTTTGGGCATCTCCTGAGTGTGTTGGGATGCCGCCTCAGAATGTGACTGACCCCACCCCTCCGCCAGTCACCAGAACCATACTCCCGTCCACCTCCCCATCCCAAAGGCCCCAAATTCTCCCCCCCCAACCTCATTGATTTTGTATGGATTTCAGAGATTCTGCACAAACCACCTGCTCCCAGATGTGATTGCAGTGGTATGCATTCCCTTGGACCATAGCATTGTAGGGAGAATAAGCAGAGGTGTCACAGAGTAAGACAAGAGGCTGGAAGAGGGAAGAAGTGGGGAGAAGGTTCACAGCAGGAGATCATCAGTGAGAAAGTGTCAAACACCTCCGCTACCGTAGGGGCATCCACAGCCAGATATGCAGCCTCAGAGCTGGGCAAAGTGAACATTCCCACCGTGACTGGAAACTTAGCAGGTGGGGGCAGCCAATATTTGCAACAGCTCCCTTTTTACCATACGCAGTTGCATAGTTTAAAGGTCACTGAATATAGAGTCAAAGACAGCTGAATACATTTCGTTCTATCCTGCCAGAAAGAAGCAGGCTGAATGAACTGGCAGCTTCCTGACTATTACAGGCCTGTGCAGGCACCAGCGTGCCAGTGCACGCATGTCATTTTGCAGACACCATATCTCGGCTCGAAGGTGCACTGCAACCAAAAGGGGTTTCACCTGCTCCGTATTCAACTGGTGTGTGACCACATGTAATGTATCATGAAGCCAGTGCCTGCTATCTGGGCAACAGTCACAATGCATTTACTCGCCATCAGTTTGATGCATCACACCGAGCCACAGAATGGCTACTGTGCGACACAGGCAGCGTACATATCACAAACGCCATGTTGTCACACAACAAGATCAAGCAAATCATTTTACATTTTCGCTGTATGGGCCACCCTGAAGAAGCCATTTACCCCTCTGCAGAGTGAGGGGGCGTCAACACTTAAGATGGTCTGCGCTATTTCACCATTGTGATTTTCCTGTCCTTGGCAACAGCTATACGGCAACAGGCTGGCGAGGAGAGAAGGACAAGGAAACCAATATTATCCTCTTAACTAGGCTGACCGCAATTAACTCAGCGAATTGTGATACCTGTAAATTTAACCCAATTCCTGACTTGCCATCAGTCTCGCATCTTGCTTTTTGAGAACGAATAAGTGAGATCTGCCTCCAGTGTTTTGACACCTCTGCAGTCTTGTTCCCTGTCCTGGGTCCAAGGTTAGTGTCTCACCACATGCAGATCCACCTTTAGGCTATCCTCTAAACACCAGAATCTGAATCAGAGCTGATAGTTATCAGTGTGAGAACAAGTGACCACACTTCTTCCTCATCATTGTCTTCCTCTTCTTCCACCTCATGTTCTTCCATTACTGCTTGGCCAGGATTGCAATTGGATATCAGAAAGGAGAAAGACGCAAATCATATAATAGAATCATAGAATCCCTACAGTGTGGAAACAGGCCATTTGGCCCATTGAGTCTATACCAACCCTCCAAAGAACATCTCACCCAGACCCACTCCCATACCCCATCCCTGTAATCCTGCATTTCTCATGACTAATCCACCTAAACTGCACTTCACTGGACGTTACGGGCAATTTAACATGGCCAATCCATCTGACATGCACATCTTCGACTCTGAGAGGAAACCCATGCAGACGCAGGGAGAACATACAAATACCACTCAGACAGTCATCTGAGAGTGGAATCAAACTCAGATCCTTGGCGCTGTGAGGCAACAGCGCTAACCACTGAGCCACCGTGCCACCCACAATAAAAACTGAAAGAACTGTGGATGCTGTAAATCAGGAACAAAAACAAAGTTGCTGGAAAAGCTCAGCAGTCTGGCAGTTCTGAGGAAGGGTCACTGGACCCGAAACGTTAACTCTGATTTTTTTCCTTCACAGGTGCTGCCAGGCCTGCTGAGCTTTTCCAGCAACTTCTGTTTTTGTGCCACCCACAATGTAGGGTTGTACTGAGGGGAAAGAAGAAAGTGAGCACTGCAGCTTAAGAAATCAGACTCATGCATTGACTTCCATTGCTGTCTGGTCCAACTGCCTGCAGAAATTTAGTCTCGAGGGTCTCCCTGTCCCCTATTTATAGATGATATTTCTCCTCTTTTCCACCTCTTGCACCAAGGCTTCAAGTGCAAAGCTGGAAAACCTTTTAACCACGTAGTCGGCCGTGTTATACTACTGTAAAATGCTCGAGTCGGCAATTCCCTAAAGAGGTGCTGACTGGATTTAAGTCATGCTAACCGTGCACAGTTTTGCATATCAGAAGCATCAAACAAGGGGTGATCTTGCATAATGATCTTTACACTTGTTTTTAGGAGTTATCGAATTTTGCAGCTTTAGTCTTTAGGGCAGTATGGAGCTGAGACCCAATCATATGCATATTCTTCTGTCTCCTGGAGCAAATGTTCAGCCACTGGCCCAAACATCCTGACTTCAGGGAAAATCAACCAGGCTCCTACTGCTGATTTATTATGCAAAAGGCCTGGCTGGAAATGTGAACGTTGGATCTTTTGCAGTTTCAAATTTTTTTGTGCCATGTTGATAACATATTGCAATGCACCCACAGTTTGTATGACTGGCAATGAGTGAAATTTTGTATCGTCTTCCTCATTCTATCCAGTATAATCTTCAATTTTCTAACTGTTGAGGTCTTCCGTTATCCTCTGTTTAGAATATGTTTCAGATGCAGCTCACAAAAGTAAAAATGCTCTGGTTGCTGAAGATCTGAAATCAAAATAAAACCTACTGAAAGTACTGAGCCTGTCTAGTGGCCTCAGTGAGAGAGGCATAGATTAGTGACCTGTTGTCATACAGCTTTATCACCCATGACAATTTTATCAAAGACAAAATGAGGTCATATACAGCAGGATCTTTGATATATAGAGGGATCTTGGGGTCCAGGCCCATAGCTCTCTGAAAGTGGCAACATCAAATGGATAAGGTGGTAAAGAAGGCAGAAGGCATGCTTGCCTTCTTTGATTGGGACATTGAGTTGAAAAGTTGGCAAGTCATGTTGCGACTTACAAGACTGTGATCAGGCCACATTTGGCATACTGTGTGCAGGTCTAGACGCAACACTATAGGAAGGACATGGAGGCTTTGGGGAGGGTGCAGAAGAGGTTTACTAGCATGTTGCCTGGATTGGGGTGTATTAGCTATAAGGAAAGGTTGGACCAACGTGGATTGTTTTCGCTTGAGCTTTGAAGGCTGAGGGGTGACCTAATAGAAGTGTATAAACTTGTGAGGGGCATGGATAGGGTGGATAGTTGAGGTCTCAATCCCAGGGTGGAAATGTCAAGTAGTAGGTGAAATAGGGAAAAGTTTCAAGGAGATGTGAGAGGAATTTTTTTTTTTTTAAAAAGAGTCTAGTAAGTGCCTGGAATGTGCTGCCGGGGAGGTGGGAAAAGCTGATACAATAGCAAAGTTTAAGAGGCATTTAGACAGATACATAAACAGACAGACAATAGAAAGATATGGACCACATGCAGGCAGATGGGATTAGTTTAGAATAGCATCACAGTTGGCACAGACATGATGGGCCTGTTCCTGTGCTGTACTGTTTCATAAGACATAAGAGCAGAAATTAGGCCATTCAACCCATCGTGTCTGTGCCAACCATGATGCTGTTCTAAGCATCATCCATGCTGTAAGGTCATATTTTCAATGGGGCAAATTTAATGGCAATGCTTCTGGTCTGCTTTTTGGTGCAATCTTTCCAATGACTGAGGACGTTGGGAGCAATTTCTGAAAAATAGTACACAAGTAATCTGGGTGTTCCTCTGGAGATTATTTCCACTGCCCTCTTCTATTTCAAGGATTGCATGCTGGGTGACAGGATGGACCTTAGGAGCCATAAAAAAAATGCCTAAATAAATGTCTTACATATTCAAGTCTTGTGCTGGCTGAAAGAATTTAACTTACTGAGGTTTTGATTTTCCTGTTTTCCAGCATCAAGTTATTGGCTGTGCAAGAAATTATTGACCGTGAAGCTCTAGAAAAGGTAAAGATGCTCATTTAAAAAACTATTGCCTTCGAGCATTGTACAGTCTTAAGGAATAGGTCAATAAATGTGTGTGACATATACAGAATGACTGGACTTTTATGGAGAACCATTGACTCTTCTGCCAGTTTCAGGTAATCTTACAGATAATGGGAATAAAGCTGAAGTGATTTAAGTTTACTTGCTGACCCCATGGGCACCTAACAGCAATTGTCTGAAAATCCCCAATTCCAACTTGTGGCCGACAGTGAATTAAAGGAAATTAGGAAGTTCTGAACATCTTTTACTAACTTCCCTCGTTTAACTTCAGTTTTTAAAGTGGATGCCTTGGTTTTCTTGGGAATGGGAGGTCTTTTGGTTTAACAACGTCTTCAAAGTCTTCTTGATCCAAGAGAACAGTTTTTTGTGGCATAGGACGGATTGAGGAATGGGACAGAGTGTTCCTGTCAATATAACACCTAGCTTGGGTACATGCATGTTTGTTTAACTCTGATCATTTGAAAAATGATGTAGTTGCTGCCACTTGTATTAACTAGACCCTCCTTCATGTGGTATGATGCATAAATATTAAGAGGACCACTAAAAGGAGAAGTTTGCATTTCAAAACTGCATTTCACAAAGTCAGGATACTGTAAAGTGTTTTATACCCAACAAAACCAAATTTTAGTCAGTTTTGGCCATGCAAACAACAGTGGCAGTGCGCTGGAGTCACGGAAAACAGAGGCTCCTCTAGCATGTAATGAATTTTATTTCAAGTTCCATTTAATAAAACTTAAGTAATTTTTGAGTGTGTTTTTTGTGCTGGTGATAATTTGCTGATGACCAGAATGGTGAGACTTAAGTATTGTGATAATGCTGTTAGGTTGATTGACCATTTTGAAATCACTGTTATATTCAGTGAATAGGTGATGCTTATGGCAGTGGCATCTTATCTAACTGCATAAGCAGTACCACAATATATTTCATAACTCAGTACATGTAAATCTTACGTGGCACAAATTAAATGTGGTTTGGATTTTATATTTAATTGCAAACAAGATTGTGGCATTCTAAAATTGTTGAGTGGTATCCAAGTTGATACAGAATGCGGTATTTCATGCCTTTGGAGTATAGGTTCACTAACTAGAGAATCTAGACTCCGGTGCAGAAGGGTTTGGAAGTTTCTTTCCAATGATTGGAAGCTCAGACTCTTTCTTTACTCTGGAATTAAACTTTGTCAATGTAATCGCTACTCTAATGCTTGTTTTTGTATATTCCCAGTCAGGCAGTGAAAAAGTTCCTTTGGTCTGTTTTCACTATAAAAACTCGGCTCCTTTTATTTCAGGGCCAGCTTTGATGCAGTTGGTTTTAAGGCAGTGGTGGAAGTAGACACCACAATGCTTTCATTTCAGATTGTTCCTTTAAATTGAAGCATTTGTTGATTTGAAACCAGTTTAGCCTCACCGCAGTAGGATATAGAGATCCTCAATTATAGGTTGTAATAAATGTTGCAGTGGGGGGTGTTATCTGGGTAGGAAGCCAATTACCAAGGATGGTATTGTTTAAGATGCGTAAGGAACAAGTCATTCTAAGCTGCTGTGCAGAAACAAACCTGATTAAAATCTTTACACATCTACACACACACCCACTGAACTTCAGTGACCTAATTAAAGCTAATGGACCTCTTCGTTTGTCAGTGTTGCATTTTAAACGGTTATTGGACAGTTAGAATGGTTCTCTTACAAAGTGTAAAGCTTTGGGCTATCATGGAGACAAGAGTCTGTCTTAATCCATTATACATACAGGTGTACACAGACTTCTTGTACCTTGGTTAGTCCTCATCCTCTTTACTTATGTATGTCATTTCCTTTACTTAGTATTTGGTTCTCAACTAATATTTCACTCATCCACCTGCAGATATTATTCATTTGTTGTGGGTACATTTTTAATGTTCATGAATAAGTGCACATAAAACTGTCAGGGACTTGCAGCTTTTCTTGAAGTAGAAATCCTTCAAGATAGGACAAATCCTATCTGCAATTAATTATTTAATCTTCTAAATTCATCCTCTAACAGGATTAGATTAGCATTTCGATTCTGCTTTTACCCTATGGATGTTTAAAAAGCAGGATATTGTCATTATCAGCATACATTTATATACTTTTTAACTACGGGGACAGTTTCCCAAATTCAGCAGCCTTGGGACTGAAATTGTGTCGGGTTTTGGGTTTTCCAGATTTTGGATTACCAACCAACTCCTTCATGCAGTCTTTTTGGGGACACTGAGACATATGGCTGATTTCTGATTCTCTTCCCCGAAAGCAGTTGAGAATATATTTATTCAAGTGTCCCTGCCATTGGGAAGAGGCAGATTTCTGTATGGAAATAGGAAGGGATGAGGGGAGGCAGATATTAAAGCACTGCAACGGACTTAGGTCCTGTGTGTGCACAACTCTTGCTGATTCTGTTCTCTGCAATTATCCAATGAACAGTCTCTACATTCTTGCACTTAGCCTATTCAAAAAGGGATGTCCAAGAGAAAAACTGTCTGGTTTTTGGAAAATTCCAGTCCATGGGCAACGGATTTGAGACACCTATAACTGTATTTCAGCATTTAATATATTCCTCATTAGAAATAGACATAATGAGTCATCCTGAGATCTTAGGGTTCAATGCAACATATTGTACAGACATTAAGTAGCACAACAGAAGATCCCCGACCAGATCTCTGCTCTGCGTTTGACCTCGCTGGTGTCAGTCACATGGGTGTCAGTGATGTCAATCCTGTAACTGACTTCAAAATCCTTGGGTAAGGAAAGCACAATCTCTGCAGTGGTTTAGATTTCTCATTGATAATTAATTACTCCTATTGATAAATTTGAATGCATGTGTTTGTGTGCTTGCTGCCTGTCTATCTGGAGAGAATAGGATCAGGCTTAGTTATAATGCCTCCAAGCTAAGACTGTTTTTGCAAAGGCTTTATCAACTTCCTGTCTAAAGCTCATGTATAAATAAAATGATAGTTGTTTAAGGTAGAGAGGACTGCTCGTCTTTTTGTGACTATCACAACAAGTTTCACATATTTGTATCCAGGAAGCCAGTAGTTAGTGGACTAAGTGGGAATGTGGATTTGAGACTGCAATCAGATCAGCTATGGGTGGCACGGTGGCTCAGTGGTTAGCACCACTGCCTCACAGCCCCAGGGACCCAGGTTCAATCCCACCCTTGGGTAACTGGTTGTGTGGAGTTTGCACAGTCTCCCTGTGCCTGCATGGCCTCTGGCTGCTCCGCAGTCCAAAGATGTGCAGGTTAGGTGCGTTGGTCATGGTAAAATTGTCCAGGGATGTGTAGGTTAGATAGGTCATCATGGGAAATGCAGGGTTACAGAGATGGGGTAGGGGGTGTGGGTCAGTGTGGACTCGATGGGCCGAGTGGCCTGTTTCCGCACTGTAGGGATTCTATGATCTTTTGGAACGACTGAGCAGGTTAGAGAAACTGAATAGCTTACTCCTACTAATAATTGGTGACTCGGAGACCTCCAGGATATGATAGGCAATGATGATAATTATAACTTCTTGATGGTGTCTTTTGAATGATTCAACAACTTGCATTTACATAGCACGTTCAGTGCTGTAAAACAGCCTGGAATGTAATTAAACGAAAGTTAAGACTGAACCAAAGATATTTTGAAGGTGATTTAAGAGCATGGTCAAAGAGATATTTAAATGAGGATAATGGAAAGATGGGCAAGAGTTATAGGTACAGAATTCAGCGTTTAAAATGCTGGATGGATCAAGGCACAGCTGCCTATCAGCCAAAGGTGCATAGGTTGTGCAGAACAGTGTTCGCAGAGAGTTGTAGGGTTTACCATTACAGAAATATAAGGGAGTAGGGTGGTGGTAATGCCATGGAGGGATTTGAGCACGACAGTGAGAATTTTGAAGTTTGAGTCGTTGTTAGATATGGCTTCAGGCATAATTAGGATTTTATGCACAGGACAACTGTTCATTTATGTCAACTTTTTTTTTCCCCAGTCTTCTGGGTTTGGCTGTACCCAGCATAAAGACTTTAGTTGAAAAAAAGCAATGGAAATGGTTTATATATTTCAGCATTGCATCAAATGTCTGCAGCAGATTTCCAAATCAAAATAAGGAAACACAGAATTGATAGGAGACAGCAACTATTGGGAAGATCTCTGAACTTATTATGCTTATTGACAGTCCTGAAGAAGGACGGAGGCTCCGAAAGCTTGTGTTTTCAAATAAACCTGTTGGACTACAACCTGCTGTTGTGTGACTTCTTTTTTGGCTGAGGAAGCAAACCTGTCGTTCACCATAAGTCCTGACACCTCATTGGTCTTACCATTGCCGTTATCAACTCACATTTCACAAAATTACGCCAAAAATATAATTGTAGCACATAGGAGCAAATTTATGGCAGACATCACTAGATTTCTTGTTTGAGCAGATTTTGAGCTATTATGCCTAGAAAATTTAAAAGATTTGTGTGGCAAAACTCTACATCTTTTTTGATTCACCAACTTCAGTGTACCTTAGAAAATATGTCTAGACATTAGAAGAGAACAGAATTAGCTTTATTGTCACGTACTGAAATGAGTACAGTGAAAAGTATGCAAGCCACCACTTATAGCGCCGTCTTAGGTACAAAAGTCTCTAGGTACAGCTTTTTCAGTCACTGTCATTACCACGAGAGGATAGTTTATTTGTGAATAAATGGATATCCTTCCTTTATTGGTTTTCAGATACAGAAGTTGTTGGTATTAATTGCAATAAAACAATGTAAATTAAGTGAACAAGAATGATAAGGGAGGTAAAGGGGTAAGCCAAAATGTGTAAATTTCATAAGAATAAAGAAAATAACATCGATTAGCTGAGTGCTGGAAATTCAGATGAGATTTTGCATGGTGAGTGTGCGCTGGAGTGGAATACTGCAGAAGATTCTGACTTAAGATTATTGATGCTGGGTAGCAGAAAAGGAAATGTTTTTCATTTGCTCTATCA